CCGCGCCCCGCGTCCCCTCGCTGCACTTTGCAGCCTGCCTGGCAGCGGCCGTGTGAACGGGCTGGCTTTCCTGCCGACCTGCGCTCTTTGTATTAGTTCTAGTCCCTCCTTGTCTCTCTCCCGTAAGTTAATATTTCCTGGGCATGGGTAAGCCGAGTTGTGCATTTGTTTCCAGTGAAGTATTGTAGTGTCTTCTGCGAAGGCATTAATGCACCTTCCCATTTGGGTATCTTCGGGGGGGGCGAAAGCAAATTTATAGCTGACACGCAGTTTTAAGGAAGAGGGCTGCTGGCTTTCAGGCAAACAATAAGCAGATTACATTTCATCAGAACTTCTTTTTGAACTGGAAAATCGTGAGAATATGTAAAATAGCAGTGACTACTGATGTAAGAGCTTACATAACCGTAATTCTCATCTCACAAGTATGGTCCTACGGCTAGAGACAAAAACTCTTGACTAGAATAAAAAGTACAAAATGGAGGTATTAAGAGTTATACAGCGGACTAAGCAAAGAAATAAATGAGGAAAAACTCACAGAGTTTCATACAAGACAGTGCCAAGATGGTGCCCACAAAGATACGTATGATAGAACGGTGAGCAGCATGTTTAAAAACTAAAGCTGGATGAAGAGGGCACAGCTCGCATATGCAGAGATAATCTTTCTACATTTTTTAAAAAATATTTAAATTATTAGTAGTGCTGTGTTTCTAATTGGAAAGTTCTACTGAAAATGAAGATGACTCTGAGAGCTTTGAAGTTCCCTAATGATTTCAGTGACCCAGACTGAAAATGGGCCCAATGTAAATCATCGACACGGCGCATATAATTAATGAAAAGAGAAGAAAGAAAACAAAAGTGGACGTCTGGCCGGTGCTAGGAGGATATCAGTAAGGAAAAGGCTTTTGGCTGAAGGAAGTTTGAGGGTAGTTTCACGGTTGGCTTTTTTTAATCCCAGCCTCATGCTCAGCTTTGTTCCATTTCCTATGCCTGGTCCCTATTGTCAAACCTCTTTCAGCAGAGAAAATACAACATAAATTCCAGTCTATTGGAATGAGAACTCCCCGTGCCTTCCTGAGGCCAGAGGAGAGGTACCTGCTGTACCTTCAGCACTTGGGGCATCACAAACCATCCTAAATGCTTCGGAAAAGGCAAACAAGCCTTTTATGGGGTTTGAAGAAAAACGCGGTGCTACCATCAACAAGATGCGGTTTGAGAAGAGAAAGGAAAAGAAATAGTAGCTGAAGGAGTTTGGTCTGCAGCCTCCTCTTGTGATCGGCCGGCGGGGCCGTGCCAGCGTCGAAGCCAGCGCTGTGTCCCGCGGGAGCCGCATCGGGAGGATGGAAACTCTGATTGGTTTGGTGATTGATGTATTTGTGATTTCTAGGCTTGATAGTGTAACTCACTGCAAAGAGCCAACCTATTAGCATATTAATGTTGTTGATTGTGCCGATAATAAAAGAAAGAAAGAAGGAACAGAAAAATCATCACTTATCTGTGATGTACGCCAAAGAAATCAGTGAAGCGAATTGTCTGCTGCTTTGAATGTAATGAATATTTTCTGAACCCTCTGGCAAATGTTACTATTATTACTCATTTCAGCCTTGTAATGCTCTCATTCAGACTTCTGAGTTCTTTACTCTCAGAATTTCTCAGTAACTTTCTAGCACTACCAGATCACTTAAACTTTGCGATTTCTTGCATTTTTCCGAGTGAAATTTCAGGAGTATTGATGATTTGATGTTTAATACCTTGCCAGACAACACAGGCTGGTCCTCCTGTACTTCCTACCTGTTGGTTTTCTTCCTGTTTGAGTTTTGACTCAGACCGTTGACTGTGGCAGCGCAGCGGGGAACTAAGACCTCCTTGGGATAAGAAGAATTACATGAAGTGTTACACCAAAAACTTGTTGGTAGAGAAATTAAATCCATAATTAATCTATACTGAAAAACAGAAGATGAAAACCTGATTTATGCTACCAATTATACGGAGGCAAATTCTGGAGGTTTTTACAGTAGCATTTTAACTACCTCTTTCCTTCCTATATCTACTTGACACCATAGAAAAAGATGTCAGAAAACTATTGTTTGCTTCTAAGAGTTAAAATCACCTTCAGTGATTTCAGATGACTTGGTTTTAGTGAAGACGTTCAAGGCCTCGCAGAGCGTGTACGTCCGTAGGCACGTTAATGCAACGCGGAGCTCGTGACGGGGGTGCGGGCTGCGGGCTGCGGGAAGGTAGTCGTGTCGTGAATAAAGCTGTGTTACGGCAGCGTCACCGTTACGTCTCATCTGGTTTCACTCAGGTTGGTCTTTCAGCAGAATATTCTGGGAAAATTACACCTGGTACTTTTTCGTCAGGGCAAATCTCTGTCTTCTGCAGGCAACCATTTGTAAAAATGATGTTTGATTTGATTATTGTGAAGTCTGGTCTGGTTTTTAAATGAAGGGTTACATAGCATTCTTTTAAAGAATGAGCTGTGTAGAATTCAGTAGGATCCACCCTTTTAGGAGCTGGTTTCCTTATGGAAACAGAATGATTCTTGTGCTTGCTCTAAGCCGTCATCCCGATATAAACCGAAGCTTCTGTGAATCACAAAGCTTTTTCTACTGGCCTTACCAGTGCTTTCCACCTGGTGCTTCGGTGCTCGGCTCTTTGGGTTATTTTTTAAGCATGTGCATAAATATCTGCATTTGAAGTTTTGCAGGTCCCAAGTGATCAGCGGAGTTGACTTCATAATTACAGTCAGATCTTTCAAATATGGTATTTGGGAATTCTTATGTTGAATGCACTATCAACAAGAAATCGAGCGGATTCCAAAGGCAACTTGAAACTAGTTTTGAAGTTACAACTCTTTCAAACCTCTTGCCCAATAATTGCCACTTGTTACTCGTTCTTACTGGTTTTTTAACACCGTTAATGGAAAAGTAAAGCATATTGAAGATAATACTTTGCACATTTTAGGATAAAACTACACTGATTAGATAAAAATACTTTCAGAGAGATACGACTTTTTTTAGTTGTGGGTTTTTTAATCAAATTTTAATTACTTTGTGACGGGAAAAAAGGAAAATGGCTATATCTGATCATGCAAAGGAAAAAGCTTCTGCGATGAAAAAATAAATTCTTCTCTCTGGTCTTTTGAAAAAAAAAAAATTGCTGCCTCTCCTATTCTTTCAAGATATTTGAAGTTTTGAAGTTTGTCGAGCTATTTTGTTCCATCTTTAAATCAGAGTTTTGTGAGCCATACAGCAATTTTCTCAGCCTCTGTCTTTTAAATAGGTAAGGAGAACATCTCTCGTGATTACTGATTAGTGGTTTTACTGCACAAAAAATCCATTAATTGAGAAGAGATTAGATTTTATTGTAATTAATTTCCATAAAACTGTTTTTCACAGCTTAAGGATTTTCTTCATAAGAGAATAAACTGCAGACAATGATAATGAGATGCTTGCATGAAGCTGATAAATAGCAGTTTATGCTTCTTTCACAGTTTCTTTAATCTCATTCAAGAAAGAATATATTTTCGAAAAAGCATTCAGAAAACAGCTCATAACATTTTTAAGCTTTTGTGGGGAAAAATGTGTTTGTGTTTCATTTGGGGTTTCTGAATTGCTGAAAAATGGTACCTTACGGTTTGGTATGAGTGCAGTTGTACAGAATTAAGTATTAGTTTAGACGTTAAGAAATTTCCTTAAGCAGAATTGCAAAAAGGAAAAAGGTGTACGCTTCGTCCTAGTGCTTTTGCTTTGGAAACATCCCGCCTGTTCCCGCCGCCTTCGCAGGACAGCCTGCAGAGCTTTCCGCCTGCTGAGCATTTCTCTGTGCGGTCCGATGAGTTTTGAAAATTTAGTGTTCTTGCATGTGCGACTGAATAGACAACCTGACATTTCTTGATTTTTGACTGTGATACAGGTCTGTTAGAGTATATAGTCTTAATGTATAGCGTGTGGCGTATGGTGAGCAATAACCTCTAGTACTCGGCTGTGGAGAATTGTATTGCTTTCACTAGTTTCAAAAGTCCTAAGCAGTGGTGTTTCGATGAGGAAGATTTTCTCCATCACTTAGAGGGATTAAGGAGTGTTACGAAGCGGCGATGCGTATGGTGACTCGGGCTCCCAGGTTTGGGAGGTTGGCTTTCGGCTGGCTCGGACTTCGGTTTTGTTCCCAAGGAGCTCGAGCAGCAATCCTCTTACAGTAAGTAACCAGCAGAACGAAAGAAAAGCTTTATGAAAATCAGGAAGGAATAAAATGTAGGTAAGAAAAGTGTAATTACCGAAGCCGGAATTAGTCCAGGGTAGGAATTAATAATACTGAAATTAATAAAGGGTTTAATTAACGTTAGTCCACAGGGCATGGAATTTTACTCCTTTCAATGGTACCACAGCTCCTTTAATTCTGTACTGCTCCTTTCTGAAATGATTGCAAAGAACAATAGAAATCCCAGGGGATTTTTTTAACAGGTTTTTCAGCAGTTTTGTTTGATTTCTTTTTAATTACAAAGGGTAAATAATGGAGCAGACTGTGGACACATGCAATCCCACTTCTTGTCAAAATACGCCTAAGTTTGTACTTTCCCATGGCCGTTCTTCCAGTAAATATTCTATAAGCAGCAGTTTCTCTAGTGGAGTTACTTCACAGTGATTTTTCTCACAAAATCTTAGCAGTGCACCATAATTCAAGTACTTTTCTTATTCCAGTATTGATCTTTCTTAAATACAAATTGTTCATCTATCCAAATCACATTCTGGTTTGGTTTTGGTTTTGGTTTTTTTTTCCCTGAAGAGGACAGTTCCAACAGATAACCAATTAATCCCACAGCCTAATTCGTCATGCCAATCGGATGTTACTATAGCTTTTGAGGAAGGCAAAGTAATTAAATCACTTTTGTTTATCCTCAGCATTTTTTTCATTCTAATTTTTAAAGTAATTTTTGATTGAATAAGAAATTACAGATATTTTTATGAAGTGCAATAATGGAAATGCTTTTGTTTTTTAAAATGCTTTGGCTGTTGTAATTGCTATTTTTAGTACAGTTCTATCACGTCATTATTTGTACACTTTCTAGCTGTTCCATTATACCGTTATTGTTCTGGGTTTCTATTAAAATGCGACGTGGGGTTTGTTGTATGTGTGTGCCTACAGTAGAGGAGAATAATGCAAAGCAAAGTGCTTTGTAATGCCTAGGGGAAGAATGTTTTTCTGAGTAGTTTTGGAAGTACGTGTCACTGTTCAATTGTTCATTATCTTCAAATGGCTTGAAAAGCTACAAATAATTTGATATTCCAAGGGCATTTTTTTATTGTGTCAAGGTTTGAAATACGCAGTTGCAAATGCTGCTTCCTATGCTGGAATACAAAGAGGCTGTGCAGCCTGACAGCTAATTTCATTTTTCTCGTGAAGTGCGTATTCCGCGCCCAACGCTTTTACAGTTTTTGCCTGTTCCAACCTCCTACGCTGACAGGAGCTGTTTGGGAAGGTCTCTGGAGCGAAGCTGCAGCGCAGCGGGTGTCGGTGGTCGTGCTGCACCCCTTCTCCGGCCTGCGCTCCGAATCTGGGAATGCTGGCGGGGCAGGGGGGTTGGGAGGCCGCGAGGGGTTTGTGCGGCCTGCCCCGTGGCTGGTTCCTGCGGTGGCTGGGACACCCGTGGGCTCTGAATGGGTGCTTCTTCGGGGGGGATGGATGGGACACCCGTGGGCTCCGTACAGGTGCTCCTTCAGGGGTGGGGGTGGATGGGACACCTATGGGTGCTGTACAG